AAATTTGAATGTTGAAACAAAACAAAAAATCTATGTTGCCCGTAACAAGAAGTTCGGTTAACTGTTATTTAAAGTTTGAGTTACTAAATGTGAACGTTTAACGAAAATAAAATTCTATGTTGCCCGTAACTAGAAGTTCGGTTAATCTCATTTTTTAAGGAGATGAAGAGTTACACCTATACAACATAAGAGTACAGTTATTGGAATGATAACTGTGACTTACATAGTCAAATCTTTGTGGTTCATGCAGACTCTCAGAGCTTGGTATACTCCTTTTTTCATCCTGATACTGACCATAATTATTGTAGCCAACACTACAGGAAAAATTATGTAGTATCTTCATGAAGCTAATCATGTCCATTTGTAAACAATGCAAACAATTAAAAATAAAAGTGATGTAACAGTGGTCTATGCAAATGTAATCAAATGTATATTAAGGTTTTAGAATATATGCACTTTACAGGCAGATTGGCCTACAATTAATGGTCAATTTATCTTATTATAATCATCCATGCAAATGTAATCAAACACCAAGCTGGCAACAAAATAAAATACTTTGTACATTTGCCTGTACCCAACCCAACCAAATTCACAGTAAATATACTTACCATTGTTACCATGTATAATTGTACTATGTATTATTTTAAGTTATAATAGAAAGTGTGAAACATAATCACCTACCAGGAATATGTTTCTTGTGGATTTCCTTTCGTCTCTAACATTTCATAAAAACTTACATCTTCATCACCGCTTTGAACACTTTCAGTGTCTGCAGCTATTGACACGTTTGCAGCCATGACTATGTAGTCACCAAATAAATAATTTAGTACCATGCAACATAAAAAGCATGGTTCTCCTTTGGAAATAAATATGTGAAAAAAAAATTGTCATCAGTTTAGAAAATATGAGACAAAATAAATCCATGTGGAACCTGAGGCAGAGACATGCATGCACTTCTGAAAAAATTAGACAAATTGTCCATAGAAATCATCTAACAAAAATTTAATCCATGAGGCAAATGTCCTGTGTCTGGTTAGAACACAGCACTGCATACCAAGACAGCAATGCCAATCTTATCTTAGAAAACAGATGTTTAAATGAGACTAGTTAACTTAAAAAAATACAAAAAGTATTTCTCTATGTTTGCGCAGACCAACAAGTACAAACTGATAGGTCACTAAGCTTTAACTACGGTAGGTAATGTCAGTGCACATCGCTCCCTGGTCAGATTAGAAGGGCGAATTGGATTGTGGGAAATCAATGTTTGTCAACGTAAGTTTCACACATGTGCTGCACGACAACCTCTGCCCTTTAATGAGCATAGGGTGAAACGTGCCAGTGTTGTTTCTGACTTTAATAATATAAGTGCATTTATTTGTTTGAGAATTTTAGACATCAGAATGTAAACAACATTTTATATATCCAACAGCTTGGGTTCTACACAGAACATTCCCTATAGTTATATTTTAGGGTGCTTTTTATCTACACACGTGAACTGCTAATGACAATACAAACATTGACTGAATAACTCGAACTCCTCTCTTTTCAGCTTTGTGTAATTTTAGCAATAAAAGACAACGGAATGTTGTGAGCTTGTTGGCTTGTATTCTCATAAATAATTTTAACTTAGTAATTTATGTAAATATTCGTAACTATAGATAGAAACGAGGAGCGCAGATGTACTGTGCAAATGTTATAAATTAAAACTACCAAAAATATTCAAAATTACATGTAAACCAATGTCAAAAGCCAGGAGTACTGCTCTGCTGTGTTAGTTGCTAATTCTTATTCTTGAAATTGCAAAAAGTAAAAAGGGTTTTCTCACCTGTAAGCGATAATTTGATACTGCTGTCATGCAACACTGTCTCCTGTTTTGTCGTCTGCTCGTAATAAGAACCCGGAAGTGAGGTCACTCGAGCACGCTATTTTGTACTTTTTTCAGTGGTTTTTATTTTGTATAACCTATATTTTTTAGTTTATAAAATAGTTGTAGTGTGATGGGATTTCATTCTATATATTTCACGAAGAAAGAAGTAATAAGTGACAGAAAATTACGCGTGCAATGCATTATGGGTAATTCAAAATGGCGGTAACTTTGGATAACCAAGGAATGTTTTGATTTCGTATTACTTCGCTTGTGCACTTGTGTACCTGAGGCGTTTACATTTTTGCTATTGCATTCAGTTTATGCCAGACGTGTTTTATATTCTAACATTTAATGGATGAGTTTGGTGGAAGTTGTTTGAGCAAGTTGTCTCAAGTGCAAGGTATTAAAATAGTTCCGTCTGCTCTGTAGTCTGCTGTGGTTTCTGACACAAGAGCCTGACGATCTTTTCGTGTCAATACATTGACGTCTGTGGGGCGGAGCGACTATGCTCCGGTACAGGGCCTTACCCTTGCGCCAAAAAATAGAAATTATATAATTAATACAGTTTGGTAATGTAAAGCAAGCATATGTCATTGAATATTGAATATCATCACTCCGAAAATCACTATTACTTGTTTCTGACTGTGTACTTTATACTGGATCTACTTTCAGAGCTTATCAGAGAACTTGAGAAGGAAACTGAAGCCACCAAGTGTGCTACTCTGGTAGAAAAGTTATATGCCATTGTTGATGGTCTACCTGAATTAGATAAGGACAAGAAAGAACATGGAAAGTTAGAAAAAGAGGTACAAAAATTATCTCGACATACTACATACACATTACAATGGTTCCACCTAAGTCACTGTTTGTTCTGAAATTCCAATCTACCATATACAAGAAATACATATAGAATACAATAAAATAATGCTTTATTAATACCGTAAAGAAAGAGTTAACATTTCTTTTTAGGTTTTCAGAATAATAAAGTAAATAATAAAAGTACATGAAATGTAAAAATTGATTTAAAAAAGAACTCAAAATTGATGAACGACAAAAATACTGCAGACAATTATTAATAATATAAGAAATATTAAAATACTGTGATATGTAAGTATATTTGTATGCAGCACAGAATATGTATAAAATATAAAAGAACATGACATAAATAAAAGAATTAGTCTTGTTTTACATATATGTACATGTGATTGTGTTGAAATGGGCGTTAGTGCAAGTAGCTTGTGTGGTTTGTGTGAGTAGCACTAATTTGAAATAATAGATCTGAGTACTAGATCTATATAGGGGTAAAATAGCACCTGATCTAGTGTTAAAATGTACACAGAGCACGGTGTGTCATTGTTACCGCAACTATTTTTGTATGCAAACTACACAAACTACACAGAGTAAATTTATAATATCTTTTTCCAACGAAACCAAATCAAACAGTGTTTCAGGGCCACCTGAATGAAATAAATGAATGAAATAAAAAAAAACACTGATACATGCATGTCAGTGTTATGATTATTTTATACCGTAAAATCTGTATTAGAAACCGCATCCCTAATAGAAGTAGCACCCATTCTTTTTGAACAATTGAGACCCCAAAATTCACCATTGATGTTGATGCTCTAATAGAAGTTGCATTCCTTCTGTTGCATTGTACCATTTTAATAGAAGCTACCGCTTTTAATACAGATTTTACAGTACTTTATTTCTGGCTTGAAAAAACTAATTGATATACATGTATATCCGATAAAAATGCACATTTACACACATTTCTATGTTTGACTAGACTGGCACATTTGGGATTGGTTTTTGGTTTTGTCAAATGTAAACGGTTATCTGTAGTCGCGAAAGAATTCTTGAGTTCGCCAAAGCAGTTCCACAGTTCTCATTCATCTGCTCCTATAGCCGTGAACAACCCCAAAATGCAGGGGAACGCCAGCTTGATGTCACATTGTTACTCAGTCTCACAGTGATTGTATTACACTTTTGATGCATGTGTTTCTTTGTTGTTGCACTGCCTAGCCAAAATAAAAAACAAAACGTCAACGTCATAACAACCAGACATCAGTTCATTTTCCTGTGGTACGTTGTGTTACTGAGCTACATGCCCATTCACAGGCTGTCGTACACACAAAATCAACCAAAGTTTACGGGACCCGGATTTTATATTTAGTTTAAAGCCCTTTGTCAGTTACAGCATTATATGGCATAATTTCATTTTGAAGACCTATTTTGTGGTGCCAACCAGATAGAAAACGACACGCCAGTGCATTTTTTTTTTTTAAATCAACGCTGAATTCCTCAGCTTATATACACCATATAAACTATAAATGTACATACAATACCAAATCTTACAGTGTCTTTGTTCACAATCTGTAAAAATTACAAAGTTCTACCTGCAGTTTCACTGTCCATGAAGCTTAAAATATGTTTTTCCAGTTGCTTGCATTTTTGAAAACACTGCGATTTCCCAGTGTTTCCATTACGACAAACAAAGAAGTGAATAAAAATAACAATGAAAATTCTCAGTACAGTACTCTCAGTTTACCCACTTTTACACATTTCCAATGAATAAATGCAAATATTAATTTATTTTCAGACAATAATTACATGACTATTTGATATACATGTTATTTCTTGACGTATTTGACAATGCAGATAACAATGCCACTCGCACTGTGTAAATTTTAACACTAGATCTAGTGTCATTTTACCTGAATTATAAAAATATTTTTTATTTTGGTCATAGAAAGACGTCTGTAATTCACTTGAGTACAAGCACCACCAATTTATTTATTTATTTATTTATTTATTTATTTATTTATTTATTTATTTATTTATTTATTTATTTATTTATTTATTTATTTATTTATTTATTTATTTATTTATTTATTTATTTATTTATTTATTCATTCATTCATTCATTCATTCATTCATTCATTCATTCATTCATTCATTCATTCATTCATTCATTCATTCATTCATTCATTCATCCATCCATCCATCCATCCATCCATCCATTTATTTATTTATTTATTTATTTATTTATTTATTTATTTTATTTATTTATTATTTATTCATTTATTTATTTATTTATTTATTCATTCATTCATTCATTCATTCATTCATTTATTCATTTATTCATTCATTCATTCATTCATTCATTCATTCATTCATTCATTCATTTATTTATTTACACACAACATCCCCCGGAGGGATTTGATTACTTTCGCATATTCATACTAATCTTTATAGTATAGAGCAAATTTGGTATTAGTAATACCATATTTATTCATTGACAATAAATGCACTTAAAAAAATGTAAGTGTAAATGAATCATTGTGTGTTAAAACCAAGACAATTTTTTGTTATTCTAATGAAGATGTGCTTCTAAGTGTAAATACAGCAAAAATATGAGGGAGGTATTTCTATTCTGCTGTCTTTTCTGATGTTTACTGTACAAAAAACAACTCACACACTCACTCAGTTTATAGGAGAGTAAATTTATTTATTGTGTTTATTCACAGGTACAGAGTTGTTCTGTGTCATTATGGAACATTGCAGTCACCAGGAAAACTGGTGGCACAATTAGCAATTCACTCAATGCTAAATGTAAGTCATTCCAATGTATCATAATTATGTTCACAATATATTATGCACAGAATGTATACACAAGAGATGCTATTAAAGTTTAATTAGATATTTCCTGGGATGATTTAAACTCATTAAAGGATTCAAAGTTGGTAGTGGTAAGTGCACATTGCGGTCATTCCTGGTTACATCAGGGAAAGCACATTGAATTGTGAGAAAATCACTGTTCATCAACACAATACTTATACATGCATGGCACAAAGACTGCCCTGTTATAGTTGGTACCCTGTAGATTCAGAAATATTCCAACACTAAGTTGAGACAGTATACATGTATACATGCTAGAAATTCAAGGTGATATCTTATGCAAGTCTATATTATGATATTTACATTCTAAAACACTACATGAAATTTGATTACTTTGGCATATTCATACTAATCTTTATTTACAAAATGTTGTTTTGTGAGTATTTACTGTATCATAAATAACATTTTTTTGAACTAATTCATATAATGATTTTTTTTGAGCAGTGAGACATGTTGCTAGTACGCTTTCATTCGTTGCTAGTGCTGGTACATCGGAAGAATTTATACTTAAACGACAAATTATGGTGAGTGTTTGATCTCTTCTGGTGTTCAACTGTGTTTACTGTACTTTGTGAGAGACACGACTAGGTATACTGTATTGTCATAACTGCACTGTTGCACGCACAGTTCAACTGCAATATTGTAGCAACATGGCTTGACTTTTGTTTCCTGCACCTGACCAGACTAAATCTGGTCCTTAAAACAACATAGCTTGCAATGTAGCTGTTTTGTCAACTAATTAGCTGACCATATTGCTGGTTAGGGTGTTAGGTGTACAAAACAAATTCGCAGCCATAGTAGAAAAGCACATAAAGACCCAAAAAATCCATGTGTTCTACACTAAATCACAATTATTGCCTGTAATGCTTGTGAGCACTCCTAATCAAGCAAATATGTTGAAAAAATAGTTGTCTTTCAAGGCTTACCTGCATCTTAAATTTTAAAATTAAACTACATGTACCTGTGGTCAATAAACTATCATAGCTAACCAGAGCCGAGGTTTCTTAGTCTGATCACATGTCTTGTTACTGTACAATCACTATGTTATCTAAGAAAAATGTCTGTGTCAAGTAACTGGATCTAATTATGAGGATTTGACATTAAACTTTTATCGATAGTTTCATTTTAATAATAAATTTTGTAATTTTCCAACAGATGGGTATAAAAAGTGGTAGAGCATGGCTTGGTAAGTGATGATTTGACATATAGTGTACCATGCAGCTCTGCATTAAACAAACAAACAGTACAGTGTTTTTGTTATAACGAATGGTAACAGTCCCCCTAGGATTAGAACAAATACACAAATCTTTTTTAATTTTAATTGTTGATGTCACAATTGGACAGACTTTTTTCAATTTGTGCTGTTATAGATTGCAGTAATCCTACTATGGCTGAGAACTCACTAGAACTGGCGTTACAGGTAAGTCAATAATTTACACATGAATAAATTCTCTGATATACATTATTAATTGAATTGAAACCTGTAGTGCATTGTTTATTTTCTATTTTTTCAATATTAATTTTTTAATTTTTTTCTGTGTCTTCGACATACTCGAAGTGTTTGGAGAGACACCAAAATCAAGTGATTGATGCAGTCAATCAGGGGAAGCTTCCAAATCCTGACAAAAGTAAACTGGAATTGGAGAAAGACTTCTTTAGGATATATGCATTTAAAGCAGAATGTGTAAGTATACAATGGCTAACCTGACTGCCTAGGTGTACCTCTTGTGCAATTTTGTTCGTTCTATGATATGGTCAGTTATTATATTATTGTATTGCCCTAATAACATGACATGGGCTAATATGATGTGTTTTCTGATATGCTGAAACTGTAAATACATGTTTTATAGGGTGTTGCTTTGAGTAAACATGATGAGGCATTCCAATTTATTCAACGAGCCAAAGAAATATTGAAAAGACTTCCAAAAGAGGTGAGTATATGGTCTATTTATTTCTCACCTGGCACAGTGAGTGTATGCAACATTTATATTCCAATATTTGAAGCTTTGTTGAATTCACAGCATGTTTATCAACATCCACAGAACCAATAAAGTATAGGATTTTGTTATTAAATAATAACTGTCATTGTGAGATCAGTATATTATTAATAGTTCTCATTGCATGTCATTATTATTCTATTTCTTGACAAAATGGGAATTACTCGCTCAATAAATGAGATGCATCATGGGAGTATCACAATGCCAGGATTTTGTTATTTAAGTAGCCTGATGAGATTTATATTTCATATCAATATTGCTTTACGAGTGGAATTTTATCTACATTCTGGCATAAAAAAATACATTTAACAGACACTGTGCTTTTTTTCACACAATTTCCAAATTTCTAAGAAAACAAAAACAGCAGTTCTGATAAATTGAATTATATTGTAAAATGTTATTTATCCTGGTAAGCCGCCTTAACTGAATCTTATTTTCAGGGAGGCCAGTCTAAAAAAAATAACCAATTTAAAATGTATTGTTCTTTTTATATGATAGGGTACATTTCTGTGTTTCTTGTGTTATAATTTTGGAGTGGATACATTCCATATGCAGAAGTATGAGGAGAGTATAACATGGCTACGGTAAGTACTATAAAGTACACTCACAAGGGATGGTTAAGCAGTGTAGTGCTTACATCTACTGTACTTGCTCAACAATAAGCTTAGGGGCCTCAACGTGGGCTTATACTCAAGGGCCAACTAAAAAAAAATGATTTGGGAGGGGGGGGGATTACCATTGTAACTATCTTACCACCCAAGAAAAATTATCTAAATTACATCTTTCATTTCCCATGCCGGGCTTGGGGGATATTGCGTTTTTTCAAAGAAAAAAAGCAACACAAATCGTCATTGATTTTTCTGATGTTTCATCCCATTCTCTTCTAAACCTTATATTCACTAAACCTGCATCTATTAGATCAATCAGTTATCCTTCATGGTAATGTTGGTGCTTGACCTAATTGACACTTCATTAATCAATTATTCAGTTTTATAGCGTTTTTTGCAGGCATTCAGATATAATAGCATCGATAGTTATAAAATTAGATATGTGATTTGTATTACAGAGAAAGTTTTGAACTTGGTAAAGGTGTACAAAGTGTAGGGCCAAAAAATCAGGTAGGAATGGAAACAACGATAAGCTAGTAATGCAAACAAAGCATCGCCAAATAGTTGTACCATTATTTATTGGTGTAAACGCCCTCTAGTGTTGTAATCTGAAAATCTACTAGCAGTTTTATGCTCTTGCAGGAGTGTATGATTTGTTATGAGAGTTGAAATTTTATTTTCATGAGATTTATCAGTGGAAAATAACAGTGTAATCATGTTGCAAGTTGTGTTTTGTTGATAATTTGTTTATATTAGAATTCTTAACATTGTAGTCTACAATTTTGACAGCTATAGGGAGCCATGTATAAATACAGTGAAAGGTAGTTTAGATAATGTCTCCTGTATTTTGTATATTTATGAGTATACTTAGAAACCTAATCAAATTTGTCTTAGTTGTTAAAAGTGAAAAAAAAATCTACTTATTTGTTTATATACTATGGGATGATTTTATTGCAGGCAAAAACATTGAGAGTATTGGCAAATTGTTATCTGGAATTGGATGGTAAACAACACTGGCAGAAAGCTTTGAATGCTGTGGGTCTAGCAAATGCTGTGAGTATAAACTATTAAACATTGATGTCTTCTAGTCTTATTTATAGCATAGCATAGCATAGCATAGCATATGTACATACACATGTAACATGACAACTACAGTTGACCTTTGCACCGATTGGACTGACAAAGGATGTGGATATAGGAGATCAAGAATTTCATATTATTTTGTGTCATTGTTTATAATCCATTATTCTTTTGCCTTTCCTATCTGCTGTGCCACTCAAGATTTGCAATAATTCTTCATTTTAAACATGTGCTTTTCGATACAAGTTACATTTTAAACCTCCATTCTGACTATATAATGGACCTAGAAGAAAGGAAATCATAATGTTGTCTGTATCAGCATACAGGCAACATCTCTTACGAGAAGTACAGTAAACCTGCATATTTAGTTCCTGTTGTACTGTTGTTGTAAGAAACGGCTACAGTCTTTAGCATAACAAACAGAGTGGTATTTTATTCCACAGCGTAGTCGTTCACAAGTGTTGCACAGACGATAGTCTTTAATATGTACATTATTTTGTTATCTGCGCGTGCACCGATCTTACAAGATTACGTCATGCTCATAAATATAAGGTTAAAGGTCACAACACTACACCTGTTTGAATTAACCTTTGTGTGTTCAGACATGCCTCAATCATTTAAACACTCACATTTAAACACACAATATATATCTTATGATACACATGCATGTACATTTGTTTCATGATCTGATTCAAGATGGCTGAATGGGGGGGGGGGGGGACAGAGCTGTATCTGACATGCCTTGACTGATCATGTTCTGACTTTTCATACAAATTATACATGCTGTCACACATATGCACATTAAATCTGTTTGATGATATAATTCAAGATGGCTGAGTGGTGGCTCTGTTTTAATGTTAAAAAGGCATAAAAGTCAAACATTTCTGCCATCGCAGATCCAGATCTTGGTTATACAGTCCATTTTGGTACATACATTAAACATGTGTATAATAATGGGACAATAATGTTTTTTCAGATCAAATTCAAATTTAAACTTGGTAACTGATGAACTCATTACTTTTAACTGATATGTACCTGTATGTCAGTATATATTTTGGCAGTGTGTTATAACCAATTTCCTTAACATGAGTAACATTTTATTGAATAGTAGAAAATTTAATATACTTAGAATAATAGATTAGATATTGCTCTCAACAAAATCTCTACAGCCATTTTTGTCCCCGATCTACATGGATTTTAACTGAATATACCTTAAAAATAAAGTTTAGTTCTCAAGATTGTTGTTTGAATTGTTTTTAGGAGCATTCTCATCCTGCAGGACTGCATTTAAAAGTCAAGATACTTTTATTGGGAGATTCTCCTGATACTAGATTGCAGTCTGGTAAGAATATTATTAGTTTATACTTTTATACTTACTCTAGTTAACAGTTATTGAACTTGATATTTTATTCAGACTTTACAAATGGCAAAGTTGAGTTGATTTCAGTTGTGTAAGCTTATAGACCTTGCTTTGTTGCCAAAACTTCAAAATATAAAACCCTATAATGACTTTAAAAAAGGTTGGAGGTCACCAGCCTACTTTTCAAGAAAATGATGGTTGTATTTTAGCCGCTCGTGTCCATTTTGTCAGTATTACCCTTACAATGCTTTTACCATGGGTTCCTATGGCAAAAGTTTTGTGTCAAATCTCAAATTGTAGGCTGGTGACATAGGCTGAAATTATATATTGTAAATGATGGGTTACTGTTTGATGTCCTGAAATATTTCAAAAATCTGGGTTTTAAAAAGTGTCAAAAAATACAATTTTTCTTTAACATTGTGTTCTTTAGATTTTTTTTGAAAAATAAAAAAGGATGCTATTTCCATGGGAGAATAGCTCCTGGATTGTACATGATAAACCAATGGATAATGTCAAGCTATTTATGACGCACTTTCTCAAAAACTATGAGTAAAACTATGGCTTATTCAGTTCATCATTTCTCAGTCAATTGAATTATTTTTTCAGCATTTGATGATGTCTTACGTCATCCTGATTTAAGTATAGATATGGCATTGGAAACTATCAAACTAGTGACACAATATAACAAGTAAGTTATAACAAGTAGTTTATTTACTGTATAAATAACTAAGACATCATTATACATCAAGTAAACATGGAAAACAATATTCAGGCTTCTGAAAAAAAAATTATTTGCACAAAAAAAGAAATAGAATTTTTTTTGGGACTAATAAAATCAACTGAGCAACATGACTACAGTGTGAACTATAGAGGGCGACATTTAGGCACCTTATCAAAAATGATTAGATTAATGCATTTTCACTATTTTACAGAAAAAATAATTTCCTACTATTTTTAGCATTGCTGAAAATAAATGATGTCTTTGTTTTTCTTTGGTGGAGGGTCAATCCCAAGAAAACACTTAACATTGGTGCTACGAGGCACAGTTAATAGAACACAAAGTTTAAATTTTCCTAATTTGTCTGGAAATGTTTTTATCAATGATCAAATGTCAGCTTCTTGAAATAATTGAAGAAAAGCGGAAGGCGAAATTATTTAAAAAACAATGATGATGTGTTTGCAATGATGATACAGTCTGATAGTTATAGCCACCTGACACATGGAAGTCATGATTTAATTTATCCCATTTGAGTAAAAAGTTACCCATCACAGACTAGCAGCTATTTCAAACACTGCATCTGCAACATATATAAATTTGGTAGTTCCGGAATACTTCAAAATTGAGTTTGTGCTGTGTTAACTTTAGATTTTTTCACCAGCTCTTCAGCTCATGCACACGGAGCTCATAGACATACATGTACCTTGTATAGTGCTGTGTGTCTAAGCAACATAAAACATTCTGTGATGTAGCTTTGCCTTCAAGAATATGCATTAGCTGCACCAATGTCAAACATTTTTGTGGGTAATTGAATTAAGCTGCTGATTTGATTCTTCACCATATACATGTATAGTTGTGTTGTCTGCCCACAGATTGGAACTTGGTATGTATGGCTTACAGCAGTTGGCAAGTAATAAGTTTGATACATCTTCAGATCTTAGTAAGA